GATTGTTTAATTGCTGCCAGTGGAATTTCAGTAGTGTTTTCTTTATTCCAAAAGCAGAATTTTTGGTGTTTAGTGCCCTAATTGTGACTGAGTGGTAGTAGTTGAGTGGGGACTAGTTTGGTCCACCTGTGGTTCTTGTTTTTGTCTCATAGATTTTTTTTTTTTTTTCCAATGGCAAATGATGATTCTGCTTCATCCGAGGTTATATCAACCCATAGTATAGCTGGTATGAGAGTTGAAAATATGATGTTTCCTATGTCAATTACCCCTTTAAATGGCCTGAACTACATGGAGTGGGATAAAGGTGTAAAACTTTATGTAATAGCAAGGAGAAAAGATGGTTACATAAATGGAAGAGTGAAAGAACCCAAGAGTGGGACAACTGAATATGATAAGTGGGACCAAGAGAACAGTATGGTAGCCATGGAACCTGATGTGAAGAAGAACTTTATGTGGGCAGAAACTGCTAGTGAAATGTGGGGATAGGCCAAAATCACCTACTCTGAGCAAAAGGCACTATTGCCAAGATTTACCAATTACAAGCTGAATCCTTAACCTGTAAATATGGTAACCATAGTTTGTCAGCCTATTATTCATCCCTTACTTCAGTATGGACGGAGTTGAACCACTATCAGGCTATAGATGAAAACATGATGATGATAATGCTAAAACTTATGAAGTTGGTTTCTTGGTTTTTTCCTTATTGTTGGGACTAAACCCCATATATGAACCTCTTAGAGTTCAGATATTAGGACGTAAAGAGTTGTTTTCAGTTCAAGGGGTGTATGCCCTTGTCCAGTCTAAGAAAAGTAGGCAGAGTGTGATGGTTACAATTGAGGGGGAGCAATAGGTGGCATTAATTGTTGACTCTTTTAGATAGATTCAGACTTGATTTAGAAAAAGTTTGGCTGTGCTCAAGCCTAGTCTAGTCACACCCTTTTCATTAAGAGGGAAAGGCTCTGCTTTGACTATTTTAGTTGTGTATGTTGATGTCATTGTTGTGACAAGGAGTGATATTGACAAAATTAATTTTCTTAAACAATTTTTTAATCAAGAGTTTGAAGTAAATAATCTGGGTGATGTGAACGCTGGAAAAAAACCGGCTGTTCACTTCGTGGCCGAACAAATGGAGTTGCCACCCATCAGGATAGATAACTGGGAGTGATGGGTCTCGGAATTGCATTTGGTAAAACATTTCAGAATTGATAGTGACTCCATACCATTCGGTCAAGACAAGGCAATTCTTGGCAAGTTGAGAGAGAGAGAGGGAAGGGGTTAGGCACCCCTCTCTCTTGTCAGTGTGAATACCAGATTCCCTTAGTTATAATTTTCAAAATAATAAATATAAAACAAGAAAAAAAAATACAAGTTCGGATTGAGAGCCAATATTCTCTGACAACTTGGTAGGTCATTGAGAGTGCTTCTTTCTCCTCTTGTAGACCAACCTCCTTTTGGATGCAGGGAACTGAGCAAAAGGGTGAGAAACCCCACCCCTTTTCTATTAGAACCCCGACCTTTGGACTCGGTCGGCTTTAAGGTATTAGGTGAGATCAACAATGGATTTTGTAGATTTGGGCTTAGAGATTTGGGTTCTTTGGGTTTCGACAGGGTTGAAATGGTTCGATTGGTGTTCGAGGGTGAGTTGGGGGTTCAGACAAAGGACCGAGCAAAAATCGGGTGTTGATAGGTGAGCTGAGGTATTTTTAGAGATTGAAGTGGTAAGGTCCAAGCATGGCATTTTTATTTCTCAAAGAAAGTATGTTCTTGATCTCCTAGAATAAACAAGAAAATTGGGGGTTAAACCTATAGATACTCCCATTTAGCCAAATCATAAGATAACTCTAGAAGATGGTGAACCTCTTGAAGATAAGAGTATGCACCAACAACTTGTGGGAAGGCTCCTTAATCTATGCCTGATTCGCCCCAACATTTCTTATGTTGTTAGTGTTGTTAGTCAATTTATGCATTCTCCCTAGACAATCCATCTCCTTGCTATTGAAAGGATTTTAGTTTACTTGAAGAGGTGTCTTGGCCAAAGTATACATTTTAAAAGCAATGGCCACATGAAGATAGAAGTGTACACTGATGCAGATTAGGCACGGTGTATTGATGATAGGAGATCTACCTTAGGATATTGTACTCTTGTTAGAGGAAATCTAGTTTCTTGGAGGAGCAAGAAACAAAATGTTGTTGGTTGCTCTTGTGCAGAAGTTGAATACAGGTCTATGAGACTATGACTAATGGTGTTGCTGAAATGTTATGGCTGAGTTCACTCCTTGAAGAGTTGGAGATTGAGTATGAAAGACCCTTGATGTTATATTGTGATAACTAGGCGGCTATTAATATTGCTCATAACCCAATACAGCATGATAGAACCAAACACATTAAAATTAACATACATTTCATTTGAGAGAGAGTTCCTCTTAGGAAGTATGTTTTCCCTATGTAGCCTCTGATATACAGCTTGCTGATCTCTTCACCAAGGCAGTCACAAAAGTCAAGCTTGAGACAGATTTAAGCAAGTTGGGAATGACAAATATCTTTTTCCAACTTGAGGGGGAGTGTGGAGAAAATGTTTGTTGATTTTGTGGTCCCACATTTTTATTATTTACTGATGACATTTTTCTGTTTTATGTTGCTGTTAGCATGTTTTATGTTTCTGTTAGCTTGTGCTTATGCTGTTACTGTCGATAGGGGTATTCCTTTCATTGTACACTTTTTATTTGTGTCTAATATATATAGTACCTGGAGCTGTGTGTCTAATATAAATAGTACCTGGAGCGGCAGAACAGATTAAATTGACTGCACCCCTTTTCCCTATTTTTTTCTCTTCTTCTTCCTCTGTTCTTTTTCTTCTTTTCTGGTTTCTTTTCTTTACAGAACAGGTCTGAACCTCTTTGGTTGCAGACAACTCCACAGGGGAGTGTTAGAATTTGAGTAATATGTACTAGAGCTGTCAACAGGAAAGTTGTGTTCATATACTCTAATTACTTAAAGAAAGGCTCTTCCATGAATGTTTTTTCATGATGGGCATTACTTTTTCTTGAATAGTGATCGTGGCTCTCAAACTAGGGAGATGAATTGTAGGCTTATTTAACAATTGGCTAACCTTTCTCTGTGGTATAATATGCAAGGTAATATATCAATTTGGTTGGTTAGATGGCATAAAGAGGACCCTTTAATTAAATACGTGGACAACCCTATGGACATCAATTTTGATCTTAGGGTCAGAGATATTCTAGATCCAAATGGTGAATGGAACTGGGATAATATTGTTTATCCTTTCAAAGATGATGCCAAGAGTAGAATCGGAAGTCTTTTTATGAAATTGACTCCTGGAGAAGATATCTTGTTCTGGACTCCTAGTACCTCTTGGATTTCTTTTAGTGAAGGATGTGTGGAATGCTATAAAATCCAAATATCCATTTGATCAGTTTGCCAAAGCTATGTGTGATAATTGCAAGCTATTGTGTGGAGATATTCCTACTGATGGGAGTGTAAGAAGGCTTGGTGTCCCCTCTGGTTCCGGCCTGCAACTGTTGCAATTAGAAAAGCATTGTGACCACTTATTATCTTTTTCATGGAGTATTAGCCATGAAAGTATGGTCTCATTTTGGTGCTAGGCAATATTTCTCTACCAGTTGGGCATTCTTACAGAACTAGGCTGTATCATTTGTATCCTCTATCTCATATTTCAACTCCTAATTTGATCTTGTGCAGACTTCTCCCATTCTTTACGTGGGAGATTTGGAAGGAGGGATTCCATGTGCACATGGAAGGTACTGTTTTGTCAGGCCAAGCTATTCTCTTCAAAATATCTAAATGGATGTTGGAGATATGGTGGATTCATCCCAATAAGGAGGCTTCCTTTATTGATAGGTTATGCTTACAGATTCTTCATGTCCAAGTGGCAGTGCCAAGAAAACCTCAGTTTTGTGTTGTATCTTCGAGCACCCCGGATAATTTTATCAAATATAATGTTGATGGGGTGAATAAAGGTAACCTGGGGATATGTGGAGGAGGTGGTGTGCTCGGGAACCATGACAGAAGAGTTCTCTTTGCACTCTTTGCATTTATTATGTTGGTTCTAATTTTATGGTGGAAATTAGAGCAATTCATGAAGTTATTGGTTAGTATCGGTTATTGTAAAAAGCTATTGGTTACTGTATAGAGTGGCAGATGGATCAGCTAACTTGGTATGCTAGTCTCTCAAAGGGGCCATCTTCTTTTTACTCTAATATTGATCTGCCCTATGATGTTCATTGCATTATATATGAAAATCAACTTCAGCTGCCTGTATTTAGATATGATTAGTTATATTTACTTTTTATTATATTAGGCAGGGTTAAGATGGAACAGGTGATCATTGTTTGTCTTGATTTTGGGGCAAGGCAGGCTATGTCCTCTATATTTGATAAGTTTCCATTTTCCAATGGTTAATAAAATTCTAAGGCGGCCGTCCCTCCACCTTGAGTAATGTTTGGGATTAAAACAGAACAAAGGCAATCTTTCTAATTATATTCTTACAAGCTTTTCTAATTAAATAGGTGTTGGATGCATTGATCCTTTTCTCCACTGCTAATTGCTTTCTCCATTTTTCTCTCTTCACCTCTTTCTTTCTTCTGTGTAACTTCCTGCTGTTTTTCTCGTAATCCACATATTTACATAGTTATTGCTTCTTCTACCTTTCCTTCTCCCTATTAATTAGACTTATTGCCAGTTCTACCTGTCCTTTTATATGTGGGGCTTTTGCCTCAACTTTGGCTCTCCTCAATTTAGAAATAGTCTTCCACTTTTATTTTTTAATTGTCAGACACTCTTTCTGCATTATGTTGAATTCATAGATATACAGGCTTTTACCTATGAAATGTTAATGTGCTACTTACAAAGTCTTATGCCCAATATTCATGAATAATTTTTATCCACCCATAAAATGATTAATTTAAACTTTTTTTTGTAGGAAAAGCATTTTCACTTTTTAGTTTTATTTATTTAAGCAGGTGCAGATAATTTAGTGCCTATAGAATTGGCTTTGAAAATTGCTAGCAAAATCAGTGCAAATGAACGGTTCTCAGTATATGTTGTTATACCAATGTGGCCTGAGGGTGTCCCAACTAGTGCCTCTGTGCAAGAAATTTTGTTTTGGCAGGTTAGCTTGCTTATACATTTGAATTTTCTACCCATTGAATTCTTGTGGGATTAATTCTTTACTTTCAGATTTAAGCATGCACTGCAATTATTGTGTTATTGTGATTGCGATTGGAACTACATTTTCTTAATTAAAGCATATAATAGAATTATAAATAGGTCTTTTGACATTTTGGCCTACCTAAAGTGTATTTTAGTTACTTTTACATAAAGAAATAATGTGAAAGGAAATCAGAAAACAATCCTTCAAATCAGGAGATATCAATTTGCTTTTCTATTCCATTGTAAATCTATAAAAATACACTGGATCTTATTCATCTTGCTCGCCTCACTAATTCTTAGTGGTTGGATACTATGGAACTAAATGTGAAGTATTCTTTTAATGAAGGGGAACTTTCAAGGATTGTTCACGATAATGTCAACTTGTTGTCCATCTAATTTATCTCACAATGACTCATCTAGAAATTGCTGAAGATGTTCAAGTTGTTAGCCAATTTGTCTCGGCTCCTTGCCAGGCTCATTCATCCTCTCTCCATCAGATTGTCTGTTATTTGTGTTGCACTGTTAGTTGTTTGAATACTCATCGTTCTGCCATTGGATTGTGTGTTTTTGTTGTGATTCTATCAACTCCAAGAAGTGCAAGAAGCAACTGCACTTCCACTTCTTGTGCCATATGATGACCCTATTCCTCTTGTTCTAGCTGTGACCAAGCCCTTGCCTCCAGTGCAGCTTCTTATTGAACGACCGCCGATCTGGCAAGTATATACTCAATGACACATATCGGCTCCTTTGGTTTCCTTTCTATTGATAGATCCAACAGTTGTTTCTGTTGAGGATTTTGTGCAAATTTGTTAGTTGTTTTTGTTTATTATTATTTTTATGTAGGAAGTGGGGACCATAACACACTTTTTGGGACCCTTTGGAGTGATGTTTTTAAGTTTTTTATGCAGTTTTATGTGTTAGCCGCCCTATAAGGGCATATTAGTCTTTTACACTTGATGTAATATGTTAAGCTTGTACCCACAGGGGTATTCTTGTCTTTTTCCCTATTTTTATATTATGTATGGTCACCTTAATATATAAATAGAATGGCTGGAACCTCCAGCACACTTTTTGCCTCTCTCACATCTTTTCTTCTTCTCGTATTCTCTTCTTCTCTTCTTTCTCTTGGAAAACATGGTATCAGAGCAGGATGTTGCTCTCTAAATCTGCTCCTCTCTTATCATGGGTCTTTCTTTATTTTTTTTTTCTTCTGGATGGGAAATTGAGAAAATAGACCTGACCTAGGTCTGAGAACACTTTGGCCCTTCTCCCTATGTTTAAAACTTGATTGTTTATCCAGAAAACAACTTCAGAATTAAGTGGATGGTCGACTGTAGTTCTCCATCGAGGTTGGTGACATTTTTTTCTCTGCTGTTGGTTTTTTCTGGGTTGAAAACCTAAAAAATCTGCTTGGACTGATCATAACCTAAAGAACTAGGTTGTTTGTAGCCTTGGTTCTTGTCAGAAAGCCCAAGGACAGGATGTGTTTATAGTACGGATGGTGTAAGGGTGCATTTGACCCTTTTGTGTGGATCTGTAGATCCAAATCCGTCAGGTTTTGAAACCTTTGTTGGTCATGAGTGACCCAAATCGACTGGCAGAGTACTGCCGTTGTAGTAGTTGATATGTTTTGACTTGTATTGTCCTTGGAAAAGGTCAGGTAGACCTGTACACATGTGTGATGGAAGCTGCTGTGTATGTGTTTGCTACTTACGTGAAAGTCTCTAAGGAGTGGGGTGATTGTCACCTGTGTGTCTGGACTGAATGATAACAGGTTGTTCACCCAAAAACCCTTTTTTGTTATGTCTACTGAAGATTTAGCAACATTTGGAACTACATCCAATCTGGGTGGACTGAATGGTGGCCCTGACACATTAATTTCCCTATGACTATCACTCCTTTGGATGGTAGGAACTATTGGCTTGGTCCAAAGAGATGTGGTTGTACATTACAACTAGTTGAAAGGCAGGGTACATCAATGGGAAGGTGAAGGAACCTAGATCAGGGACTACCGAATATTACAAATGGGACCAAGAAAACTGTATGATTATGTTGTGGTCTCTAACGTCCATGTTACCTTCAGTTAAGTAGAATTTCATGTGGGCTGAAACAGCAAAAGAAATATGGGAACAAGCAAAAGCAACGTACTCTGAACAAAAGGCACTATGCCTAGATTTACCAATCACAAGTTGAATCCTCAACATGTAAGCAGGGGGAGAGAAGCTTATCTACCTACTATTCAGCCCTAACTTGAGTTTCGAAAGTGTTAAGAGTACACAAAACATGGGTATTTTGGTCATTTGGGTTTATCTATTTGAGAGTGAAAGGTC